AACACAAAAAAAACAAAATTTCTAATAAAATTTTGATGGAGAACAGTATGCCATCCACTTCCAAACAAAGCTACAATTTTACCGTTGATAACTCTAATGAAGAATTAGTGGAACCACTCGACAGTGAAACTAGAGTTACACAAAATATTTCAACTTCTTTACTTGAAAAGGCCAAATCCATACCACTCGAAGCTCAAAATAGGGTTACAGAAGTAATATCACAACATTTTTCAAACTCTGTGCTGGAAAAGGCCAAAACCTTAAGTTTTGGTAATTGCAATAATTGTACATTCAATATTAATATTCATAAGAGTTAAAAACCTATTTTTTTAAATATTTCTTCATTTGTTAGTCATTTTGTTCTGTAAGAATTATAAATTTGTAAAGTTCCAATAAATTTATTTTTGTTGCTGTGTACAATTTTTGGCACATTTTACTTTTTTTCACTAGTGCGTAAAGTAAAGTACTTTTTTTCACTAGTGAAAAAAAGTAACTTTTATATTTCTAATATTAGTGGATTATGTGTACGGTAGTAGAAAAAATATTGTATGCCACTCGTGTGTAAAGTCCCTTTTTTGACTCACATTCGTCAAAAAAGGGTAACTTTACACACTTGTTGCATAAATAACTATTTTCTGTACCTGGCTTGCGTTCTAAAAATAACTTTTATATTGTATGTACAGGGTGGTTCAATATTGTTTTTTATGCGATTGAAACATTATTTTAATTTTATTTATGAATCGAATGATGAACTATGTTATTTTTATGTTATCTTTTCTTTTCATTATTTATACAGGGTGGGTTATAAGAGTAACTGACGTATCTTGTTAAAAAATGTTTGTCATTTTTGAACAGATAGGTTTTAAAAAAGTCTTGTCTCCATATGAAGGACCGTACCAAGTCGTACAGCGAAAAGAGAAGCAGTTAGTTATTTGTATTTGTGGTAAAAACGTTACGGTTTCCATCGATAGAGTAAAGCCAATGTATATTTTGAATGAAGATCAGCCAAATCCATTATGTAAACAGCCTACAGATGTACCTTCAGGAGTGATACAAACTACTAGATCCGGAAGACAAGTAAAACTTCCTGTCAGATTTAATTTTTAAAGTGTTTAATGTTATATATTATATTGTATTCTTTTTGCGAGGGGAGTACTGTAGTGACTATCGCCCTCCTCACTTCGTGACTGCCGCAGACTTAAATCTACAGGTTCACAAAAAGCGACGGGAGTAAAACAGAACGTCACTATCAGATCTTCACTGAGTAACCAATGAACTGGAGGGGGTAGAATGCCAATGTACATGTTGTACTATTAGAACAAGGTGCGACTCGATGGGCGCAGCCATTTTTATTGTTCATCTCACTCGGAACTATTTATAATAACCATTTTCTGTTTCACATTGTTATTGTTCAATCCACAAGATGGTGGATCAGACAATAACAATGTGAAATAGAAACTGGCTATTTTAAATACTTCCGAGTGAGATAAAAAATAACCTATCTTCGCCCATAGAGTCGCACATCAAGTCTAATGACAAGCATTCTACCCCACTCCAGTTCATTGTGAGTAACATACGTTTCGTTTCCTTCGGTAATCGTTTTGATCGGCCCTATTAAATCACCTAAAGAGAATAAAAAGTGTTTCTTTATATAAGGACATGTGTTACTTTTCCAATATTCGTAAATTTTTCGTATGTTTTGTATTTTCAACCAAAATAAATATTAGGCTATGCTTCTGGCTTAAACATTATTTTCAAAAAGCATCGTTACAAAAAATGCATACTTAAACTGTAAGAAGGTAAGCAGTTTTTCTTGATTTCCCAAAAAGTTTATTTTTGGACATGTGTTGTTTTTCAAATAAACGCTTTAATTATAGCTATGTAGGTAAGAACTACCTATTTCCACATTTGGTTTGTTGTAGAATATTATTCAGTAAACGGCAATATTTTTTTAAGGTAATAAAATAGAACTTCTTTTAATTTGACAATATGTTTATTGCGACCAGTTTCGAAGACAAAGATGTACTTCAGGAACGTCTAATGGATAGGTAAAAACGTGTGAATTATCTTGTAAATCATGGAAAAGTTTTATTTTAAAGGAAATTTTTAATTAATGAGAAATGGCCACTTAACTATATTTTCAGAAAAAAAAATTAAGCATGTACATATTTGCAAGTAGTAAAATTTAAAAGTTATATAAATATAATAAAAATAGTATATTTATTATAAGTCACACTAACAAACTTACAAATTAAAACAATGATAATAAAATAGGAACGAGACAAAATAAAGTAGAACAAGATAAAACATGGAATTAAAAATGGAAGCTTTTAAAACTATAACAGAAAAATAGTGGTTGAAAACATTTTTTATTTTCGCCATCAAAATAGTTTCTCTTTTGACTGACCATATAGACCATCAACGCCTTAGATAAAACATTTTTGTTTGTACATTTTGTGTGATTTTATATTTTAAGGGCATGGTGGAAAAATACAGGTGAAGCGGTTAGAGGTACGAAAATCGGTCAGACTTATGCATGACGTCCTTTTCGAAGCAGATTTTTATTATGCCTATATCTGGAATGTTAAAAAGCGACTTTTTAAGTTATTTTAATATCTTTCTGATAGTGCTCAGAACTGTATAGATATATTTATCTTAAAATTTAATATTATTTCTATACATCAAAAGGTCTTTTTAGTAATTTTTGGTACGTATTATTCAATTAATTTCTAATTAAATTGATAGTGTAGTTGATATAAAGTTAGGATATGTCACATTTTTGCTGTATATTAAAGATAAAAAAAATTGTTTCTAATTCTTTTATTCATATATTATTGGTACATTAAAATCTACTATTTTAGGGATTGTAGTTACTAGCAAAATGCCAAGTTGTGCAGTGTTTGGCTTCCAGAACTATTCGAGAAAAACAAAGGGAACAAACACTAAGTATTTTGGAGTTCCGAAAACAAACTTAGCCATAGCCAAAGTCTAGATCAACGTTTGCAGTAGGAATTCTACTGTTTTTGTAAACTTTGTTCTTAATTTAGTAAGTTTGCCTTATTCTTCAGCAAATGGTCAAAGAATATTTTCTCTAGTAAAATTGCTGAAGGAAAAGCAGCGTAATAAGCATCCACTACTGTTTTGGTTTGCTTCATAAAAAAAATCTCAAGATAATCATTGTTTTTATTTAAAATGCAGCAAAGAATTAATAGAGCATCTTAAAAAGAACATACATGCCAAACACAACTTATTTTTGAATTATGTGATTCAGACTGATCTAAAAGAAATACCTATTATTTTTCATTAGTTTCTTTTTTTGTTTCCGTACGTTTCCTATATACTAATTTTCTTTTTATTAACTACACTGCAAATTATAATTATTTCCCCTTATATTAAAATCTACTGTTCAGATCTACGGTTTTTTATATACTTTATATACTGTTCCAGCAAATTTTCATCTGGCAACACTACCCAGGATAGAACTTCGCAACTACAATTTCTATAAAATATCAACTAATCATCTCGAAATACAAGCGATGACTAAGCGTGTGCTGTCATATGGTACCTTGAATGCTATCCCATGACGTGGGTGAGTTCCGGCTTGTGCCAGCTTGAACAAATCTTGTTGTCAGTCTCGCCAGTGGTGTTTCATCTACATACATTGTGAAGTTTTAAATATTAAGCAAAAGTCAATAAAAAAGAGATGGTATATCTGTGTATCAAAGCCACAATAGGTAGTTATCTACATCCTGGGATCCTGATCCAGTTTTAGAAGATGCTTGCATTTTTTGTAAAATTTCTGTAAAAACCCATTAGGCCATCTTTTTTTCTTGAATTTTCTGATTGAAAACTTTACAGATATATTGTCTTTATTTCGTTTCCAGGCATCGTGAACATGGTTTAAGTTTTTGTGATTAAGGTCCCTAGGGCTTAGTATGATGGTCGGCTCCCTTTTATAATCTGATAAAAATTTCAATATCAAATCATTTTTTTTTTAATCAAAATTCGAAACATTACTGAAACTTATCGAGTCGTATCGATGGTCACTGGAAATGTTGGAATAAACAGTTATTTACACAAGCCGAGACCTACAACACGCGAGAAAGACCATGCCGCGCCAGAAATAACCCGGAACTTGGAGGACTGGGCTCGTGATGGGACACCTAAACCTATCACTAGACTGAAGTTGCAACAATGACAGTCGCAGAAACCAAATTATGTCTTGTTAACCTACGTTGCTTAGTAACGACAGGGTCACGCCACTGGCGTAGAACGAACATTTTTATGCCAACAGCCATGTATTTATTTGTTAGCGACGTTAGCGTTTGGCATTTAAGGTTATGTTTTTGGAGTCGCCTACATATATGACGGTTATATTATTTGGACGATTGTGGGTCATTTTTTTAAAATCTTGTTATAGTTTTTATAGAAAGAAATTACAAAATTTCAATTTTTTTAAAGTTCTTAATTTTTTTAGAAAAAACCATCAAATTTTGAAAATCTAGTTCCAGAGAAACACAGATTTAACACCTACAAATATAATAAACTTTATAAGTGGGGTACTACTAGCAGTTTGCATGGATATAATTCGTATTAGTTGGAAAAGACATACCAAAACAACGATCGGCATCTCCAATTCTTTTGTAATTCCGTATATTCCATTATTTTAGTTCATTAAAACTCACTAAGTACACTAAATTCGGTAGGGCTATAGTTGTTTCTTCATTATACATGCTATGGCGCGAATAAATAGTGAGCTTGTAAATCTACATCACAAGAAAATAGGATTTAAAGTTATTTCCTTAGCCCTTAAGTATTCAGAGCAGGCTAATTATTATGTTGGACTTTTAATATCTTGGAAACATATACAACATTTAATTTAATTTTCCCCGAATTCATTGATGCAAAAATAATAAAATTAGTTTTTTTGTAGATACGGCATCTATTTTTTTGGACTGCAGGATTATAGTTATGTGTTCTGGTAATTCTACAATACTCACCTGCTGGATTTCGGAAAAATAAATAAGAACTTCCGATGATTGGCAAGTTTAATGGTCCCTGTATGTTCCATGCTCTTTTGAACAAATTTCGGTTTTGCCATAAATATTCAATGAAACGAAATAATAAGAGGACAAAAAAGATTAATATCAAAGTTTCCTGGAAATTGTATTTCAAGTCTGTTATAAAAGTATTCAACGATTTAGACATGCTGAAAAAAAAAGAAATAAAGAAAAATAATTTTAAAAATTAAATAAGAAAATCTATAGCAGGGGTAGAAGTTGGAAAGGCTTTTGTCAGTTCTCCACTTTATACACATAAATTGACAGGTTTGCGGTGGATCTAACCGAAGTGGATGCGATACATTGGCGTACAAAATTATTTTATAGATGTTAATAAAAATTTCGAGTAAATAGTTTAATAAATTGTGAATAGCTGTTGAAATTTTGTAAAATTATGATTTGAATATTATAATACAGGTTTAATAATTATTTATAGTCCATGAATACATGCGATTGTCCGGTTCCGCCGGTAACAATTTAAAATTACTTATTCTATGAAACGACACTGGCAGGTAATCATTACTGCGAAATTCTAGAAGCCGTCCGACGTGGTTTGACGTTTACCCCCTCTCTACCTACCAAAAGCCTTTCCAACTTCTACTTACTCGCATATCGGGGACAACACTAATCTTATGTAATTGCTGTGGTGGGAGGTGTTTGTGTGAATGCCTCTTGTTTGTTTTCATTTACGCCGTGACAGTAGTATTCTATAAACCTTAGAAGCAAATTTCATATACATGAACATATAATAATAATGCCGTGACAACAAGAAGACGAAGCAACGACTTCTCGTAGGGTGGCGGCTTCGCCGCCATCAGAAAATTTCAATCCATACCTGGCTACGCCGACCGGCATAAACAACAACGGCCTGGACACAGCTCACCTACTCTGTCAAAAGGAGACCGATGTTCAAATAAAACGCGTACGACATGCGCACTGTAAGGGGTTTTCTCGCCACAGAGAAAACGATTCCTTACGAATGACGCTGGTTACGGGGGGTTCTCGAGCGCCAGATTTTTGGTGATGGTTTACTCCACGAAATTTCGAAACGGCGTCGAAAGTACTCGGGTAGCTACAGATGGAGAAAAATTCCAGGGGTCAAGGTCACTTAGACACAGGTAATAGTGTGCCACAAGTAACGGGCTTTAATCGTTGCTTGGGCTGGTACAGAATTAATCACTAGCTGAAATATAAGGGGGAAATAAATTTAGGAATTAACAACCAGTAATACGGCAGGTTAACATTGACACATATATTGTGGTTAACTATTTACAATAAAAACAAAAAAAAGAAATTAAATATTTCAACGCCCACCCTCACGGTAATATGTACAAACCCTGAACAAAAATAAACAAACAAAACGGACGGAAATGACTTTCGAGTAGTCTCAATCAGACGTAAAGAAAAAAAATGAAATCAATACTTATAATTATCACGGTCGCAGTAAAAGTTTATTGAATTGTTTATTCTGTTGTTGAGTTAAAAATGCAATTTGCTATTTCATTCGGCAGTATTATTTTGGTCGTAGCAAAAATTGACTGTTAAATTTTCTAATCGGTATTTACAATCAAATGTAATTGAATGCTTCAGTAAAGCAAAATATCATATTGGTCTCCAGAGAATGCGAGGAGACAGGTTCGGGATAATACTAATTCCAGAGCTGAAACCGGGACCCTATAAGAGGTTTACTCACTAGTGGTTGGAAAGTAAAACCAACTAACAACCGGGATAGTACATTATCCCTGAGTGAACCGATCGTAATCACGAGCCGCTTCAAACTGGGGAATGATGCTATTTAATGTCAATTAAATAACGGCGTTTTACATAAAATAAATTTAATAACCGGGATAGCACACTATCTCTGAATAAAGCGATCGTAATCACGAGCCGCTTCAGACAGGGGAATGATACTATTTTAGTTCTGTTGAAATAACGGAGACTTAACGCAAATGAATTTTTAGATATAGACTGAACTAATAGCCGGGATAACACCTTATCTCTGGATGAAGCGATCGTAATCACGAGCCGCTTCAAACTGGGAATGATGCTATTTAAATTCTCTTAAAATGTGCAATTCGGAGAATAAAACAAAAGAAAATGCCTCGTCGCAATTCTACAAATATAACCAATCAAAACATTAGACAATTCCCAAACAGTTCCAATCAATTATTTATTGGATAATGTTTTTAATAAACTGTATTATTTATTTACATAAATTTCCAGTAGTAGGAAAAATTAACTATAAGACTATATTTATGATTAAATGAAAAATAAATTAATTAACGGTCAAAACTTTAAATAAACTAAAATGAAATTTATTTTTTATTTACGGAGATTTCCAGTAGTAGGAAAAATTAAATATACGACTATATCTACGATTGAATAAAAAATATAAATTGTTTAACGGTCAAGACTTCAAATAAACTAAAATGAAATTTATAAAGAACGGTGTATTCTAACAAGAATAAATTAAAGTATTTTTCAATCAAAACAAATCCCAAAATCCTAACTCAACACGGAATAAATCAAATTAAATCGGTTTCAAATAGCACGGCTTAAAGACTCGGGCACGAAAGAAATTATATAAAAAAAACTATCAACAAACTTTACCTCGCGGCGTGAAATAAATTTCAGGATCGTAGGTATTTAGCGTTTAATCGAGTATTGGATTTGACGGTGTAAAAGCAAGTGAAATTTTTAATTCAGTCTCGGACGTGGTTCAGCCGATGTATGCCCTTCCACATCAGAAAACCCCACCATGGTCGCGCGCGCAGGTAGAGCATCTCGAAGCTTTCGAACCGTGGTAATACGGAGGATATACAGGGCCTACCCATGAAGTTGAAATTAATTGAAAATCGAAATTAATACCCGGAATTAATTAATAATGATAATAGTAATGAAAATTGACTTCATTACAGCACTACAAATGATTAGTGTTGTCGCCGATACGCGAGTCTTATACTTGTGCTATACTGCGGTATCAGCATCAGCCATATTAACGCTAATCTATGTACGTGGGTGTATCAAATATAAACGGGACTAGTGCTTCCATGGAATCCGGGGGAGACCTTCGGAAAAGACCACGGTGATGGTATGCGAAACTGACATTCGAAGTTAGGGTGGTATTAGAGTAGTATAGAAAATTCGATAGGACGTTACACATTAATTTTAGGGGCATCTCTTTTTCGTTACGGATATTTTTTCATTAAGGATTCAATATAAATTTAATTATTTTTTATCATAACCTCGACCGATTTTTTATCTAAGGACTACACGTTAAACTGTGAAGTTTAAATTAATGAATTAGAATTTTGCATTAAATAATTTTTTGTTATTTTGTAGATAAAAAAAAATTGAAATAAAATATTGAATTGTAAGCAGTCATATTCAGGGTTCTGGTGTAAATTACAAGTTTTGACTTTCAAACTCACTTTTTAAAAACTAATAATTTAATTTTTGAAAATACCTTTAATAATTTTTATATTATAACTACAAGGTAAAATATATCAGACTAGAAATAATATTGACAATCTATTTATAATAAAATAAATTCTGACATCGGTGGACATTGGCCGGTCGTGGTTGCGTAGCTAAACCTTTGACCTTGACCCCCTACCTAGTGCCATCCTTTGTATAGTACTCATGGAGTCGTCCGGGAGAGAGTTACAATATTATGGTTTTATTACAGGTATCTTTTTGTTATTTAAAAGGGGAACCGTTCTTATTTGGGAAATTTTTTTTAAAAGTAAGTAAAGAAAGTAAAGGTAAGTTCGGAGAGACAATAATATTTATTGCTTCTAAACCTGAGTTATAGCAATGAGTACAGATAGATCTTAAATCATAAAAACAACATTATTCATTCACTACAAAAGAGCGCAATTTTAATATATTCCAAATATATTCAGCAATTTTTCTAGCTTCAAAAATTCTTATATTTGGGCAAAATTTTGCAAATTGTAATTGTTTAGTTGATGTCTCTCTCTCTCTTTCTCTCTCTCTTTCTCTCTCTCTCTCTCTGTATGTGTGCGTGTGCGGATGCGCGTGCGTGTGTGTGTGTGTGTGTGTGTGTGTGTGTGTGTGTGTGTGTGTGTGTGTGTGTGTGTGTGTGTGTGTGTGTGTGTGTGTGTGTGTGTGTGTGTGTGTGTGTGTGTGTGTGTGTGTGTGTGTGTGTGTGTGTGTGTGTGTGTGTGTGTGTGTGTGTGTGTGTGTGTGTGTGTGTGTGTGTGTGTGTGTGTGTGTGTGTGTGTGTGTGTGTGTGTGTGTGTGTGTGTGTCTGTATCCACCATAACTCATGAACCGATACAAAGAAAAACACCAAATTTTAAACTTAAGCTTCATTCCGGCCTGCGGTGAACTGATTAGATTTTGGGCAGAGTCGGAACATTTGGGGGTACTTTATTGGTGGTCATTTTTATATTTTATGGAATATATCCGTTGTTTACGTTTGGAGAAGAAAATTCTTCAAATAAAAGTTACTTACAATATTATTATCTATAATTTTTGTTTTATACAAAATTTTCATAAAATGGTCCGTATTCGATAAATTTAAGAAAATGTAAAAAAATTAATTTTTTATAAAAATTGGTAAAATAAAAGTTGTTTGTAATATAATTCTCTATAATTTTTATTTTATACATAATTTCTCTAAAATGGACCGTATTCGAGATATTTGAGAAAATCTGTAAATTTCGAATTTTGAAGAAAACTCAAAAACCCCATAGAGAAAAACATTAAATTTTAAACTTAAGTTTTATTTCGGTTTTAGGTGAAATGATTAGATTTTGGACGAAGGCGGAACATCTGGGGGGTACTTTATGGGAGGCCGTTATTATATTTTATAGAATATATCTGTTATTTACGTTTAGAGAAGAAAATTTATTAAATAAAAGTAACTTCTATTATTATTTTCTATTATTTTATGTTCTATGCAAAATTTTTCTAAAATGGTCCGTATTCGAGAAATTTTACAAAATGTAAAAAATTTTGATATTTAAGAAAATTGTTGAATTAAAAGATGTTTGCCATATCGATCTCTATAATTTTTGTTTTTTTTTACATAATTTCTCTAAAATGGACCATAATGGAAAAATTGGAGGAAAATTATAAAATTTAAATTTTTCAGAATTTTCGAGTTAGATGTATGTGGAAAATGTATATATTAAGTAAACCTTTAAATATTTACAGAGATGCTACAATAGGTTGTACAAAATAACCGAAAAAAGACCGTAATAACTAGATAGGAAAGTCATGTGTTGGACACATCAGATTTTTACTTCAAGGTATAAGCTTATGTTTATTTTGAAAAATATGGATGATCATTCTATATATGTAACTATCTATTCCATTGACCTTGTCAAATCACCAGGCCTACGGGTGCCATAATTTTGCCGTATCATAACCTGTCAAAACCCACTGGTATCCATTTTGTTTGGAATGCCTAATAATTTGATAAAGCTGCTTCAAAAGGTAAGTTTAAAGAGACAAGTTACATTCACGCCTTTAACAGTACTAAGTTCAAAAAAATATTAATAAATAGGTTTATTCTAAGAACGGTTCTGGCTGTTGGAACGAATCTAATATTATACACATAATATGTCAAATTTCTATAGCCGCCTGAATTTAAACAGAAACATTTAATTACTCAAGTGGTGCATGAAAGATTTAATTTTTCTCCAAACCTATTATTTTTTATGTAACATTTTTCTTCATGAATAGTTATTTGTTTTATGATTTTTTGTAATACATTTTTTCTAATACGCCATTTTAGTGATTGTGTAATTATGGTTTCACTGACAATTAAAGTGGCAGTAGATTTTTTGAGTGCGTTTTGATCGTTTTGTTCGTTTTGTTTACCCAAATTATATCGTTTTTTTACTTTTATAAATATATTTCTAAAGTAAGCAGATAACATGCATCAAATATACAATCGTTTAGTTACCAATTACATACCTTTAAACTATTTTTTATGACCTGCAAACAATATTTAGAAAAATACTTAAAACAGTAAAAACGTATATGTCAAATTTATTGATATTTTTGTTAAAAGTTTGGTTAGAATTAAATGTCAGTGAAACAAAAATAACATCACACTAAACTGGCGTATTGTTAGGTTAGTCGATAACAGTTGAATACTTTGATATTTATTGATTGAATTTGTCAGAATGTGATATTTTAAATTTAGTCTAATAACATTTTCTTATTCAAAATTATTGAAATTAAATGACCTAGTTCTGAAACATTTACTTCTTTTTCCCTCATATAACAATAAAACAAAACAAAAATAAATTAGCGAGCGTTAGAATATGTCTGTCGACATTATGAATTTATGGAAACCAAATTCAAAACATAAACAAATATTAAACAAGTGAAAAATAAAATTATTCTCGTGCTGACACCTTATGAACATTTTTATTAAGTATTTTTTTACTACTTAGGATAAAATTAAAAATTAAAATAAATGTATTTCTTACCCGATGTTGAATTTACCTATCAACCTCATTTAAAATTATTAGAGTCTAGACTATAGACTATTATACAGGAAATTTACTTTTATTTTCAATTTTTTCCTATAATTTAGAAAGTAGCTTTTGCATGCAGGTGCGTATTTAGCATTTGCGCGCGTCTCATAAATTAATTATTTTGTGTTTTCTTTTTTGTATCTGATAATCAAACTAACGAATTATCGATAAAAATCAAAATTGAAGTTGGCTGTGAAATTGAAATGTTTTAAATTTGTACATTTGTACTTTAACCACTTTTACAAAATAACATTTTGGACATTTTCATTACGGGAGAGTCCAAGTTGGGTCCTAATCTTAGCAGGTATGTTTACGCACGGTTCAATAGGGTACGCACTATGGCCTAATTGATTCCCTGAAATCAGTGGCGGCTTGTTATAATTTAAAAAGGGTGTTCACTTTTTCCAATAATTTATCGTTTGTAAGTTCGGTTCAAAACTTTGTACAAGCGCCAATATCGTTGTTTTTTTATTTGGGTTCATATTAAGTGTAGTTATTATTATCAATATTATACTGTTTGCAAGCACTACAAATATTAATGAATATTTTGTTTGTTTTATTTTTAATACGTTGAAAACCATTTATAAACATTATTAGTTATAGTCAGATGACTTTTATTCACATTTTGAGATCATTTTTAAATATATATCAGATTATGTACAAAGCTTGACATTGATTTTTGTGTAAAAAATATTCTATGAAATAATATATTTTTTAAATACCTTTTATTGGCAAATAAACCAAGTGAACTAAAATGTTTATTTTATAAGATCAGTCCCATCACAGTACATAACATTACCCAGATACAAACTAGAATAAATATATATATATAATGCGTGGCATTGTAAATTATACTCTTCACAGTCCAAGCCCCCTTAATTCGCATTTTCATTCAGATTTTTTCAGAATTTTCATCGTCTTATTAAGCTTGATTTTTTCCAAACATTTCAAGTTAATATATGTCTGTGTGTGTGTGTGTGTGTGTGTGTGTGTGTGTGTGTGTGTGTGTGTGTGGGTTCGTGCGTGCGTGCGTGCGTACGTACGTGCGTGCGTGCGTGCGTGCGTGCGTGCGTGCGTGCGTGCGTGAGTGTGTGTGTGTGTGTGTGTGTGTGTGTGTGTGTGTGTGTGTGTGCGTGTGTGTGTGTGTGTGTGTGTGTGTGTGTGTGTGTGTGTATAACGCATAACTCATGAACCGATACACGGAAAAACACCAAATTTCAAACTTAAGCTTTGTTCCAGCGTCTAATGAGCTGATGAGATTTTGGGCAGAGTCGGAACATCTGGGGGGTACTTTATAGGTGGTCATTTTTATATTTCATGGAATATATCTGTTATTTACGTTTGGAGAAGAAAATTCTTTAAATAAAAGTTACTTTTAATATAATTATCTATAATTTCTGTTCTATGCAAAATTTTCCTAAAATGGTCCGTATTCGAGAAATTTGACAAAATGTAAAAAAAATTATTTTTTATAAAAATTGTTCAAATAAAAGTTGTTTGTAATATAATTCTCTATAATTTTTATTCTATACATAATTTCTCTAAAATGGACCGTATTCGAGATATTTGAGAAAATGTGTAAATTTCGAATTTTGAAGAAAACTCAAAAACGGATAAAGAAAAAAACATTAAATTTTAAACTTTCGGCCTGACGTGAAATGATTAGATTTTAGACATAGTCGGAACATCTGGGGGGTACTTTATGGGAGGCCACTTTTATATTTTATGGAATATATCTGTTATTAATGTTTGGAGAAAAAAATTGTTCAAATAAAAGTTACTTCTAATATGATTATCTATAATTTTTGTTGTATGTAAAAATTTCCTGAAATGGTCCGTATTCGAGAAAATTCAACAAAATGTGCAAAATTCTGAATTTTATGAAAGTTTTTGAAATAAAAGTTGTTTGCTATATCGATCTCTATAATTTTTGTTTATACATGATTTTTCTAAAATGGACCGTAATGAAAAAATTGTAGGAAATTTTAATTTTTCAGTATTTTCGTTTTCCATGAATATCTATAGAAGAATGTTTCGAGGTAGATGTATGTGGACAATGTATATATTTAGTTTATCCTCTAAACATTTATAGAGATGCTGCAATAGGTTGTACAAAATAACCGGAAAAAGCCTATAATAACTAGATAGGAAAGTCATGTGTTGGACACATCAGATTTTTTTTTTTTGTAATTCGAGTTAAATCCTCACCGCTACATCAGTCTGACACTGTTTATCAGTACCTCTGACATTTATAGATGGAATATATTTCTATAACTTTAAATTCATTAGGAACGACCTACAAAATAAAACAATTATTCATACAAAATTGTACCAGGGTCAAGAAATTATTCCTGTTCGAATAAAATATGTAAGCAAATTGTCATACTTGTGAAATACCTTCTGGTACATTGTACAATTATTTTTCTTGGCTAGCAACTGCTATCTAAGATCTGTTTAAAGTTAGGTAGTTTATATAATTGCCATAAGAGCCTATTTTGATGGTTTTTTTTTATAGAAGAGCACCGATTACTTTGTATCCATTTACGCAGTTTTCTGTTTTAGAGTTTGATATAAAACACATGACTATTTTATAGAAACTGGAACGAAACAAAATATAAACACAACCTCAAAAATTAGTAATTGTTTTACCTGGAGCTTGGAGACGTATTTCGTTAACAATCATTGAATTGACACACAAACTTATAAAATTCGCAGTTTTATTTAAACACGGTTTTTAAATAAAAACAATCATTAAAATTGACTTATGATGAATTTTAGAGTTTGAAAGCTCGTTTGGAGACATCCAGATAAAATAATGTAAAGGCCGTATGACACGATACTAGATTTAGTATTTATTTAGAACTAAAAAAAAATTTTTTTTTTCGTACCAAAAAAGTAAGGTTGCATGCGATAAATTGAGCACTAAATTAACCCATTAGCGCCCAGAATTATTTTTGGTTTAATATTTTATACCTTTTCGTATGTTTGGACTAATATGGTCCTAATTTGATAAAAAAAAGTAATTTTAGTCAAGATCATGTGACCACTAGAAAGAAAAAAGGTGATACCATATGGTATCACTGGGCGTATATGCTACTGAGAAATATGAAAACAAACACTAAATATTCAAATTATATATTTTTTTCAAAACAATATTTCAAAATATTATATTGTGTGATAGCTAGCGAAACAAGATACACATAGACCAACGTCACATTTAGAACACATTGTTCTTCCAAAGCTGTTGCAACCAGTGCCCGCACAACGCCGTCTATTACAAGGAGCAACGTAATGGTGCATACCATCATACCGAATTACTGGTAAAAGAGTGCGGGTGACGGACGTTCTTGCAGGACCTGGTGATTTTGGCGGCATGCCGTAACGTGCTAAATAAACTTGGGCCAACTCCCTTCGGAAGTCCAGATTGGATGTTTTGTTGTGGTTTTGCTAATATCAAAACCAAGCATTGTTTATTGTTGCATCCAAAATCCACGTAGAAATTGACCAATACCACTTTTTACCGCGAATACCAACTCTATAATTCGCATTGCCCTGGTCCATTTGGTCAGTTCCTCCCATATGACGGTTATATTGCGCAATACAATCAGGACGATTAACCATTATATGCTTTTTCTGTTGCTGAGAATATCGTTTGACTGTACTTACTGGAGAAACACCCACATTTGTTGAAACCATGGTCACAACAGAATTATCTAGCCAGCGTATCAGAAGAATTCCATAGTTTTTTTCTAAAATTTGTTGAGAAGCACCTCTTTCTCTTTTAGAAAATATTTTTGTGTCTTCCAGTGGGCAAGATTGTGGAATTCGATTTTGTCTAATAGTACCAAGTGCACTGTAACTCAAGAATTTCAAATAGATGAATAAGTTCAGTCCCGTGAAGAGGTTATCCATGTATATAGTATATGGTAAATTTGGATGATGTAATTCTTTTAGCATAAGTACAAGAGGTGATGAACATTTTCCAAACAGATCTTCATATTTTTGATTGCTGCGAGGATTTTTTCCTTGGTATAGGTCGAAATTGACCAAATACCCTGATGATGAATTTAGACACCATATCTTATACCCGAATTGGATCGGTTTACCTCGAATATATTGCTTGCATCCATGTCGACCGAGGCAAGGTTTGGGACTGCAACAAAATTTTGCAAACAACGCTTTTTTATTTTGTCCATGAGAGGCCGTATTTTCCAAGCTTTATCCGAAGCGTCCATATGGGTATTATCTGTAAAGTGGATAAATCTTTGGATTTGTAGAAACGTATTTCGTCGCATGGCTTAACAAACTAAATTATTTTTGGCATCATCTTTCACGTCCCAATACATTCTTTTAGAAGGAAGTGAGTTATATCCACTTAGAATGAGAATACCTAGGAAACATTTTATTTGAGATGAAGTTATTTGTGGGTCTAAATTGTTACAAAATTGGGCATAATTAATCACTTCGTCATCAAAAAATAATTGGAAAATATCTACGCAACACATATTTTCAAACCTCTTGTAATCTTCTTTCGGAAACGAACGGGAGGATGCAGGCTGGAGATCTCCTTCAATCCATACATAATCTTTTTTTTTGTCATGGAGATAATTCTTAATCCACTCGTCTAACTGAATATTATTATGATGGGGAGTTGATGGTGTAGAATTTTGTGCTATAGATGCCTGTGTAGTTGATTCTGCGGGAACTTCTTCATAATTGCTGCCCATACGTGTATTATTTATACATTTTATTTCCGCGGGAGCACGTAACTGGCGACCTGTTAGGTTATGAATCATACCCCCATCATTTTCGTCAGCAGAATCTTCATCGGTGTCTACGTTGGGTTCAGGAGGTTCAATAAATATTCCGTCTATTCCATTTGCAAAATCGTCATCTGAGTAAATCATATCCAACGCCTCCGAAAATGAAAATCCACGTCTGAAAAAAATATAAATGTAGTAGTCCTAACTCCCAGTGATACCATATGGTATCATCAAATTTT